TTCTGTCATGTATTTTTAAAAATTCCTTTCCTAGAACCCTTTGATTGAATTTTTGGTTTTCTTTCTTTCTTTCTTTTCTTTTTTTCTGGCTCAGCTCACCCTGAGGGTGGGGCTGGCAGGGCATGTGGTGCCAGGGATTGAACTGTGGTCCCCTGTGTCTACCTGAGCTTGCCCAAGCAGGTGCTTTAGACCACTGAGCTATCTCATCAGCCCCATCTTATTCTTAATTTCTCCTAGTGCTTCTTCTCTTCATTAATAATATCAAGGTTTAGCTTTGTAGGTGCTATCTCGGATAGCAAGAAGGTATTGTGGAAGGGTGAGTGTGTGTGTGTGTGTGTGTGTGTGCGCGCGTATGTATTTTGGCTCATCTCTTCTGGAGCTCTTTCTTGATTAATGAGAAAATGCCAGCACAGTGGCTGAGTGGTGGGGACCCAGAGGGGAGAGACATATAAGGTAAAGCAGTGGAGGCCACTGTGGACATGAGAGGCTAGGTGGATGCATTGTGGCATGTTTAGTTTTGTTGTTAAGAATAAGCAATACACAGAACACTTAGAGCTCTGTTTGGACACTGGATTTTGTTATTTGTATACAATGTGAATCATAGAAGCCACTTACTCTGCCTTGTTCTTGGAAAGTGGGATTGCAGGGACCTTGGGGCAGGGAGGTGGATAAGAACATGGGGGGCAGAGTGAGCCCATTAGTGAGGGATGGGACCTCTGGATGCATCCCAGAGCTAGGGTGGTCTCCCTTTTGTACCACATAGTGTGATTTACTGGGTCCACAAGAGGGTGGAGGCCATGGTGAGTCTGTGAGACTGATGGAAGGAACCGAGGGAGTTTATGGTAAATGCTGTTAGCAGAGAAAGCCTGGTCCCTGGGTAGGATTGGGGCATGTGTCCTCCTCTACAGGAAATCTGTTAAGAGAGAGCAACCTGGTCTTCCCTCATGGAAAGGAGGTTGTTGCATTATTATGAATCAGGAGGCAGCTGTAACTAAAAGAAAAATACATTTACTGATACTGTTGTTTATTCTTTCCTGCCACATCAGCAGCAGGTGTCCTGTGAGTGCTGGTACATGTTCAGTTATGACAGGGCCAGGCAGCAGCCCCCCTGGTCTTCCTACCCTGTCCAACAGTGCATCTGCTCTCCTGTCTTCTTGTGGTGGTCATGTTTTGTAGGAGATGTGCTCTGGGAGGTAATGTGATGTGAACATAATAATCACATTGGCCTCACTATTTGTAAAACATGAAATAATACAGTCTCTACAACGAATAACTCTTGAAAGAAATGTTAGAAGTTACAGCCCTGTGAAGAAAGGCATACTGTTCCCATGGTACACGGGGCTGAATCTGAAGGGCAAGGACTCTGCAGAAGTATTTGAGGAAGAAGTGAAAACACAGAAGAGGAGCAGAGGCAGACCCTTCTGGTATGTGTCTGCATCCTGAGAGTGTGGCCCACTTTCCATAAAGTTGGACTTGCATTCTGCAAGGCCGTCTGAAATGCATCCTCACAGGAAATCAGACAGTTTAGGATTGTTTATCCCCATAGATAACATTGGGACTATTGATAGGTCTTAGTTTTTTGTTTTAACCCATTAAGAGCATACATTGAACTGTGAAACCAATACATCATTACTAAGCTTCGGAAGGCAGACAATTGATTTTTTCTGTATCGTTAAATTTCTGTCAGCATTTTTTTTTTTTTATTTTAGTGCAGGGTCTACAGGGTCTCACTACACAGATCAGACTCCTAATGATCCTCCTGTTTTCAGACTCCCAAGCACTGGGATTGCAATTATGTGCCACCACGCCCAGTCTCAGTCTCCACCTCAGCATGCCCAGGGCTGGGGCTGGAATTCTAGGGATTGAACCCCATCCCCATAGTCCACTGAACTGTCTGGCCAACACTGCTGTCAGCATTTTTGTGGCTTCCCTCTGATAAGTTTTTGATGGCATGTCTTGTATACCAGCTTGTTACTGTGCACATGTGTCATTTTGTCACCTGCATGTCACATCTGTGCTTCTCTGTTGCTGTAATGGCTACATGCTCTTTCTTTCATGGTATGAGTGTCTCAGTGTCTCAGTTACTTTTCTGTTATTACTGGGACAAAAATACCTGACACCCAAAATTAAGGAAAGAAAGGGTTATTTAGCTCATAGAGGAGGTTTCAGTCCATACTTGGCTGGCTCCAAGGCAGAATGGCACATGGCAGAGGGCAGCAGCTCATGGGGGCAGAAACAGCAATGAGCGAAGAGTGGAGCAATGACTGTGGCAGAGGCTAGCAAGCCTGTCTCTCCTCCTCATGTTGTGTGTAGATTACCCAACCTAGAGCAGATGTAGCCCTCAAACTCATAATCTCACATTGTATCATGAATTAATCACAAACTCTAGAAGCCTGCCCCAGTGATTGCATGAGCCTTTGGGGGGACAGCTAGACACAAACCGTAACACTCAGTTTACATAGCTTTGCCCCAGATGGGTTACTTAGGATAAAAATCCCAGAGCTTGTGGGTTTTGTGTGCCAAACTTAGCAAACATGACTGTTCCTTAGGGACTTTGCCTACCTTATGTGTTCATGTGAGCCTTCACACTGGAAGGGACATGGTCTGTTTTGTGCTTGTGTTCATGATGAATGTATGTGACATGAGGGAGGGGTTGATTCTCTTGCTTGGAGGTCAGGGTGCACAGCAGAAGAGCAGCTCACTCGCCTGTCTGGGAGACCAACAGTCAACACTGCAAAACTGAGCCTCTCTTGCACTTGTTTCTGCGATGTGGGTAGTCCTCTCAGGCTGGTCAGTGGCTGTGCAGGGAGGTAACAATAGGGATTATAGAAGAAGCACCACAAGGAGCACTGCACCACTGATGGGGCACTGGGTTGGTCCAGGAAGCCACGTGAAGGTATCTGTGACAGAGGGTAGCAGTGCAGTAGTGATGAACAAGTGGCTCACAGAGGAGTGCTGTGTGTCCTGTGGAATGTCAGACAGGTCTGTATGGAGTGTGTCTGTGTGATGTGTGTAGACACTGCCCTTCATACCACCTGCAACAGGGCTCCCTGTTCCCACTTCTTGAAGCTGGAGTGAAGCAGGTTCCAGGGAACACAGAGCCACGAACATCACCTACCCTGCTTCCTTGATAGTTTTCCTAACTATGTTCCTATATAGTTGTATAGTTGTGTATAATTGTTTTTAAAAACAATATGTTTTAGCTCACATTCCTGTGTGTTGATCTGAGTAGAAGTGTTCCCCTATGAGTCCTGGTGCTCTGCTGCCTGGTTAGTGACACTGTCCTGAGGGTACTTGAGGGTACAATCACCCGAAAGATGGAAGAAGTGTGTGCTTGTCACATGTGACCTTAGGGCTGTGAGTCCTGCTGTTACCTTTCCTGCTTAGCCCCTCATCCCTTGGACAGGGTTAATGCGTGAAATCCCTCAAGAGGGTACTCCCTTGCATTTAAGGCGTCTGTCCTTTATTAGGATTCAGAGAGCATAGAGCTGTTTGAACCTTATGAATAGTTGGCATTTGTTGGCTTTGTATATAGCCTGAGAGTTCTCTGGGAGCCTTAGGGAGAGAATGAAGAAGAGAATGTGAATTCAGTTACTGGGAAATAGGGGATGAAGAGAAAACTGGAGCAAAGCGAAGGATGTCTGTAGTTGTTGAGGGCAGGTGGACAGATACTTTCACGTGAGGTGGCCAGATTGCGGTGCTCCATGCACATCACTCCCATCTTTCCTGGGGTGCTCCTCAGAGCAGTACTCAGCAGAGGGCAGCCAGAGACCACATACAGCCACCACCCATGTGTGTGCGTAACAGCACTTTGCTGGAGCAGAATGTCTCAGTCTGCTTTGTGTTGCTGTAACAATATACAGAGGCTGGGTACTTTAAAGAAGAAGGAGTTTTAATAAGCTCACACTTTTGGAGGTCCAAGGGCATGGGGTCAGATTGGCCTCCTGGGGAGGGCCTCTCGCTATGCTGGCACAAGGTGGATGGCATCCTATGGGGAACACATTAGAGAGAGGGGAAAGAGGGAGAGACAGTGCCTGGTCACAACCTACTCTTGAGGTAAGCTAGTAAGGTCTCACTCCTCTCCTGTAAGAACATTCACTTCCTTCAAGACCTGATCCCCATCTTTTTCAGGACCTACCACCTAACTTCCACTGCATGAGCCTGATGGAATTGTTCATTCACATGCACAGCTGTTCTCAGGCTGCCAGGCAGAGTAGGTAATGGGCACAACATGGCCTACACACCTGGAAAATTTACTGTGTGCTTCACAAGAAAGGTTTGCCAATACAGCTAGGCATGGATCATAGATATTGTGAATTTATTTTAGGCTTCTTAATCTCTGATCTTACTGTTCTATAGGTATAAGGCAGGAGTTTTAAGGAAAAATCATGACTTATGAGTGTTTTATCATGAAAAAAAGTTAACTTCAAAAATGGTGTAATGGAGGGCTGGCCAAATAGCAGATTAAAGCGCCTGCAAGCAGGCACAGGGACTGGGGATTTGATCCCCAGGCCTGCCATGCTGACCCTGCCTGTGGGGTGTGCTGAGATCCCTGCCTGTGGGGTGTGCTGAGATGGCAATTGAAACTGGGCCTGGTGGTGCACACCTGTAATCCCAGCTCTTGGGAGGCTGTAAACAGGGGGATCACTACAAGTCCAATCTAATAGTGAGACCCTGAACACCCTGTAGACCCTTCCCTAAAAATACAAAACAATCAAACAAAAAAAGCCCCACAAAACTGAAGCATTGGTGTGTTTTAAACTTGAGTAGGTACCAGAAAGTTGATCTCTGATTACACATCCCTGATCCACTAGACTTTAGATGCTCTCATTTATTACAAAGTGGAAATAGTAGTTTCCCAGAAAAATCATTTCCTATTTTTTGAGGCAACTGTCATTACAACATATTTAAGTATGAATATGAATATAAATATGTAGTGCTGATCTTATTCTTGGAAACCTGACAAGTATTTTATGTGGTTTATATTTCTATCCTCTTAGCTCAAGATCCATGGCCCAAGATGACTCTAGCAGTGGAGGCTGTCTTCTGTAGAGAGGGGGACTGGATCGCAGGCTGGGATGAACATGCCACTGCACCAGGTCTCTGCCATTCCAGCCCAGGACAGTGCTTCTGCTAGGATCTTTAGGAGCAAGACCAAAGAAAAGGAGAGGGAAGAACAGGTAAGCTTTTTGTATTGCACTGTATTTATTAAAAATTACTTAAATATGATCTAGACTAATATCTAAACTCCAGAGATCAGGGTTTTCTCTGATCTTATACTAAGAAGCACATACGTAGTATGCTTAAAGAGATTATCTTTTGGTTTTTAGATTTTTAAATAAAGGAGTAAACTCACTTTGTTTGTAAATGGTTAACTTAAAGGCCTAAATTATCATCTCTGATTAAGTTTTCATGATTATATTTGGTAAATCACTAAGACAAAGTTGTTGGAATTCTTAGGACATAATGCAAAGTATAAATTTATGTTAAGTAAATGAGCTGGGGCATAGTGGTGTAGACCTGGGAAGCCTAGGGCAAAAATGATCCCAAGTTCAAGCCGAGCCTGGGCAACTTAGTGACTGAACAAAATCCTGTGTCAAAATTTAAAAAACAAAAAGGTTGGAGATGTTGCTCAGTGTGATGGTCCTAGGCCCTGCTTAATGCAAGGGTCCATGGTGTATGGCTGCCACACATTGCCATAGCGTATGTCACACCACAGTGTATGTCTGCTCAACCAACCACTGGTGAGGTCAAATATGCAGCTATAGCATAGTGACAGAAGTGGGTACACTCATGATGGCCTCATCCCAGCCTGCGCCATCCAGAAAGACTCTTGGAGAGGATAGTACTGGTGTGGAAGGCTGAGCAGGGACCCAGAGAGGGAGAAGGCAGTGTCCTGATCAGGATGCTACGTGCCAGCTACCCAGAGATTGGAGCACAGGGAGTATGAAGAGATTTAGAATCAACTGGACATAAAGATTGGACTAGGTAGGGGTTTGGTAGGAGATTACACAGTTAACACAAAGTTTTGTGCATAGTGTGAAGGATCAGAGGTTTGTTCTTAACACTTACATGCAGCCTGTATCTTGGAAAGCAAATTCAAGGAGTGGTAGACTAACTGAGGGTTATTTAGTAACTTACTTGGTCTAGGTTTGTGAACTTTTTCTATAGTGGGTCAGAAAATAGATACAGGAGTTATTGCTTCGTGATGAGACACACGGTGGGAAAGACACTCAGGGCTCTCGTCTCAGTGCAGGTGTCTTCTTCTCTGTGAGGTGTCACGGAGCATGCTCACAACCAGGCTCACCAAGGCATCACTGGAGATACGGCATCCACAGTCCACCCTCTACACAGTGCTTTCTGTGCTTTAGACTCTGCAGTCAACCTCCCCCTGCCATCACAGTGTACTGACACTCAGAGGCAGAGTGTAAACTTATGAATATGACTGTCGCAGTACAGTGTTGTTTATAGGCAGGCAGAGGCTATATTTGCATCCTACCAGTCCCTATAGATCCTTACTCAGGCTGGCCTGCCTTGGACTTACACTGATCCTCCTGCCTCAGCCTCCCAAACGCCTGGATTACAGTCATGCACCACCACACCAGCTTTCCTGTTTACAGTTAATATTACTCTTGCCCAAGACTGGAAAGACTCCTTATAAAGTCAGGAATTAATAAGTCTTTTTGACTTGGGATTATTATGGTTGATGGGAAACCATTCCTCTCATTATTCCATCAAGAAATTTTAAAAACAAACCATATCATGTAGTTCTTAAACTACATGAACTTCAGTAAATGAAAAGCTCCAATTTTTTTTTTTTTTCCCCTTCAGTACTGGGGATTGAACTTAAGACCCTGAGCTTGCCAGGCAAGCACTTATTCTACTGAGCTATCTCCCCCGCCCTGAAAAGCTCCATTTATATAATGAGATGTTTTTATGTTCTTCACCATTTTATATACTTTTTCTGTTTCCATGGCCTTTTGGGAACAGTGTGGCCCACTTTGCCTGAGATGTCAGCCATGGGTAGTGGTGGGTGTAATATTGTCTTCAGTATTTTAGTTTTTCTCCCGCTTATTGGGCAAGGGAAACTACCTCAAGGTGTCTTTCCATGTTCTGTCAGCTAACAGTTCATTTAAATTAAGTCTCTCCTGGAACCCTTCATAGCCCGAGTACACCCCTCAGTATGACTGAGTAGGTGCTGGCCTGCGCTGCATTGGGTTCCCTCTTCAGTGTTGTGTCAGATGTGGACACCAGGCGGCTTGGGTGTACTGGTTGCCTGAGATTGCAGTTCACTTGTTTTCTGCAATCCTCCTATGGTTTGAGGAAAGACTGTCTGGTGTCTGTTCATCTGAGTGTACAAACCTGTCACTAGGCTCTGTTCCCTGACGTCTCATCTCCAGATACCATGGAACTGGGGAATAGGGCTCTGATTGGGGAAATTGGGGCATGGTATGGACATTTAGTCTGTAGCAGTCTGTATGCAGACTACAGAAAGGAAGACATCTAGTGTTTTAGGCCAGGAAAGGGGATTCTTATATACACCCTTCTGTAAATGTCACTGTACATGGATATTTAGTAAATATCTCTCTTTGGCAAAGGTTTAAAGATTTGAATAAATAGCACTGGGATTTAGGTTGTTTTTGAGAAGAGAAATTGTCTTGTCCCACCTTAGTGGGTGGAGATAGTGCTTTTAAATACTTAGTAGTAGTTCTAACATCTCTGGGAATCATGGCACCAAAGCATGCTGGCCAGACCTCTGAGAGCATCACAGCAGCTACACAGAGCCGAGCGAGATGGCTATAAGTTTTCAGGGCCTCATGTGTACTTGGATGGGTTGGAAGGTAAATTTGTGCCAGGGGTCCATGCTGCTTTACCCAGCTCCCTTGGCACATGTTGAACCTGGTGTGTCCGGGTGCTGTTGTGATCCTCTTGAGCTCAGAGGAGTGCTAGGAGGCAGAGCCACTCTGCAGCGGTCCCTCCTCACATTTGCACTCATTGACTGCAGAGGCCATTTCATCCCACTGAGGGTGCATTGGTGCCTGCTTCTCTGTGGCATCTTCTGCCCTAGCCTGTGCCAGCCCTCTGCGGAGAGTTCATGACTTCTCTGGAATCAGAATGGCTGAGAATGGGAGGAGGGTTCTGTTACAGGTTCGCTGGGGTCATCACTTAGGAATTGGGACATGTTTATAGGGTGTTATAGATAATGAGCTGCTGCTTTTCGGACTTTGTCTTTGGGAACCTGTTATATATGTATTATTTCAAAAAAAGTAATACTTTCTTTTTTTGCTTGAGAATTTTTCTTATACTTTAAAAGTACAGTCATATCTCAGTACTCAACTTCTTTGAAACTTGAATTTGGTACTTGATGAGGAAGCTACTTGCTGTTGATTTCCTGTGCCTGGTTATTATTTCTAGTTAAATTAATGTGATTGGTATTCATTGGGGCTCCCAGAACCAGTTAGTATTTTGCTATAGGTCTACCTGAAAACACTCTCTGCATACCAAGTATAGGATTATTAGTGTATAATAATCTGAAAGACAGTTTTACCTTTGGACATTAAGTCACTGTTTGGAAATATACATGTCATTACACAGTCTAAGTTACTTGTATCATAGAATGATGCCCATGCTATCCTCCTCTATTAACAGGCCAGGGCTCTAGGATGTACTGTGGGCAACAATATCCTTTCCAGTTCATTTACAGAGAGGGAAGCAGATACTGGCAGAATAGTCACCCTTCCCTGGCTTCCAGAACAGCAACTCCCAGTGCCCAGGTCCTGTCCGCTAAGATCAGGAGCTGACAGATCAGAAAGTCACTATTGCTACTTCTGATGAAGAACACTTCATTGTCTTACTATGACTGAAGAGACTGCCAGACTACCAGTCCTGGATGTGCATCACCTTCACTGCGGTCTGGACTAGCTGAGTGCACCTCTCACCCGTCTGCTTTATACATCGGTGCCTTGCTGAGGGTCATTGGTTTAGTGGAATCCAGGTGGGTCTGGAACTCAAATTGAAAGGTGGTCTGGAGAATACACTTTTTATTCTTTTATTTGTATGTTTTATTTATTTGTATTTATTTACTTTTCGGAGGTACCAGGGATGGAACTCAGGACCATGTGCTTTCCAAGCAAGCACTTATTCCACTGAGCTATCTCCCCAGCTCGGAATATACTTTTTAAGCTTTGTTCCTTTTGCCCCTTCAACACAGCACTCTGAAAGGACTGTTTCAGGAACCCTGAAAGGTGGTAAGCTTATATGGAAAATGAAGTGGAAAGAGCTGGTCAAATAGCTCAGTGGATTAAAGCTCCTGCAAGCAGGCGCAGGGGCCAGGAGTTCAATCCCTGGGCCTGCCATGCCAGCCCTGCTCCCGGGGTATGCTGAGATGGCAATTGAGACTGGGCATGGTGTTGTTTGCCTGTAATTCCAGCTCTTGGGAGGCTGTAAACAGGTGGATCACTGTGAGTCCGATCTAGTAGTGAGACCCTGAACACCCTATAGACCCTTCCCTTAAAAAAAAAAAAAAAAAAAAAAAAAAAGTGAAGTGGGTATTTATTTCCTGTCATGTTCACAAGCATTTCCAGCCACTATTGGCTTCACCATCTTGCTTCTGGTGTCAGCAGGGGGATTTTACCAGGGAGTCGGGGTGATGGTTGTCTGAGCATGTTTAGATTTGCTCTATAGATGTGTGCTTGTTGGCAGCCGGTGTGTGCTCCTCTGGACCTGACACCCATAGGAAGGATGCTTTACCCTATTCAAATGATAACAGCATTGTGAAGCAAGGCCATCACACTTTTACCTCTTATTAAACGTTGTTTCTTTTTTTTTATTAGATAAATTATTCTCTTCTAAATAATAGAACTCTAATTTAGGAGACTGGGTGCTAAATCCCAGCATCTCAGCACCACCCAGCTCCCGCCTGTGTAGCATTTGGACTTCCTCAGTGTCCTTAGCCTGCTTGTGCGGTTGGGGTACTGGGGTGCCGTATTCCCTCAGTATTGACTGCCACCTCCAAGGGAATTTTGTTCTGTTACTTTAACTAAAAAAAAAAAAAACAAAAAAACCCTACCTGTATCTTTTGTTAGCATTCTTGCTTTTTTGTGCCTAGTAACTATAGTCTTTTTCTGCACGATAAAAATCCCTTATTTCATGTGTTACTTTGTTGAGCCGCAACATTTTG